CATATCATTCCATAGCATGGTATATTGTTAGGATTATATCTTAGTTGCACTTCATGCATATCATGCATATTGCATCGTGTCCGGAATAGGAGTTAGCCCGGGCACGGGAAACGAGGTACATTTCGTACTCCGAGTGGCAGAATGTGTCTCAATTCCCCAGTCACCGACACTCCGGATCATCCATGATGGAGTTAGGTTTTAGCTGTAGTTTCATGTGCATTCATCCTATATTGAGTTGTGCATTTCGATTCCTCGGCCATCATGCCTCGGTATGCGTGATTGGTGGCACGTGTTTCGAGACATGCATATATTTGTGCAAATACATTGCTATGCCCCTTTCCTGCTCTCTGTTGCAGCAGAATGAAGAATCAGCAACCTTTTGGGGCTTGGCGCGCATTTCAAGAACAGGTGTAAACAGAGGCTAATTTGGGCATTCCGGTAGATTTCCACGCAAGACAACCCGGACATGCATCATCCATCAGAAGCAAGTCATAAATGGTATTTAAATATAAATTTCTCAATAAAAATCAAATATTTAAATATAAAAAAATTGATGCCAAAAAAAAGTTGTTGACATGTAAACAATTAAATAAAATGTATATTTGAATAATTTATTATTGTTTTGTGATACAAGTGAAATATACTCCTCTTATTAGTAATTTTTGCATTAAAATAAATGTCAAATCAATTCACAAATTAATCATCTTCACTTACGGAATTTTATTTCCACACCATACAAATTCTAAATAAACATCATAAATGGTATTTAAATATAAATTTCTCAATAAAAATCAAATATTTAAATATAAAAAAATTGATGCCAAAAAAAAGTTGTTGACATGTAAACAATTAAATAAAATGTATATTTGAATAATTTATTATTGTTTTGTGATACAAGTGAAATATACTCCTCTTATTAGTAATTTTTGCATTAAAATAAATGTCAAATCAATTCACAAATTAATCATCTTCACTTACGGAATTTTATTTCCACACCATACAAATTCTAAATAAACATCATAAATGGTATTTAAATATAAATTTCTCAATAAAAATCAAATATTTAAATATAAAAAAATTGATGCCAAAAAAAAGTTGTTGACATGTAAACAATTAAATAAAATGTATATTTGAATAATTTATTATTGTTTTGTGATACAAGTGAAATATACTCCTCTTATTAGTAATTTTTGCATTAAAATAAATGTCAAATCAATTCACAAATTAATCATCTTCACTTACGGAATTTTATTTCCACACCATACAAATTCTAAATAAACATCATAAATGGTATTTAAATATAAATTTCTCAATAAAAATCAAATATTTAAATATAAAAAAATTGATGCCAAAAAAAAGTTGTTGACATGTAAACAATTAAATAAAATGTATATTTGAATAATTTATTATTGTTTTGTGATACAAGTGAAATATACTCCTCTTATTAGTAATTTTTGCATTAAAATAAATGTCAAATCAATTCACAAATTAATCATCTTCACTTACGGAATTTTATTTCCACACCATACAAATTCTAAATAAACATCATAAATGGTATTTAAATATAAATTTCTCAATAAAAATCAAATATTTAAATATAAAAAAATTGATGCCAAAAAAAGTTGTTGACATGTAAACAATTAAATAAAATGTATATTTGAATAATTTATTATTGTTTTGTGATACAAGTGAAATATACTCCTCTTATTAGTAATTTTTGCATTAAAATAAATGTCAAATCAATTCACAAATTAATCATCTTCACTTACGGAATTTTATTTCCACACCATACAAATTCTAAATAAACATCATAAATGGTATTTAAATATAAATTTCTCAATAAAAATCAAATATTTAAATATAAAAAAATTGATGCCAAAAAAAGTTGTTGACATGTAAACAATTAAATAAAATGTATATTTGAATAATTTATTATTGTTTTGTGATACAAGTGAAATATACTCCTCTTATTAGTAATTTTTGCATTAAAATAAATGTCAAATCAATTCACAAATTAATCATCTTCACTTACGGAATTTTATTTCCACACCATACAAATTCTAAATAAACATCATAAATGGTATTTAAATATAAATTTCTGAATAAAATTGGATGTTCAGATTTTAAGTTATAAACAATAATAAATTATTCAAATATGCATTTTATTTAATTGTTTACATGTCAACAACTTTTTTTTGGCATCAATTTTTTTATATTTAAATATTTGATTTTTCTTTATAAATTTATATTTAAATCACATTTATAATATATACTAAAAGTTTGAGTGATGTCAAAATAAAATTAATCTCTAATTGCCTCACTTTTTTATCATTATACTTTCACAAAATTATATTTTTTTTTATGTTGATTTTTGCATTAAATATATGTCCAATCAATATCTGTATTAAAGATCTGGATTAAAGATCTTTATCTCTAGGGTTGATATCAATAATTGTTATTTTACATTTTTACCCTTTTACTTTTAAAGAAATCCCTTAGCTAAATAAAACTAAAAATAAAAAATTCACCAATTTACATCTATGCCATACATCTGTCAGCATCACTACCATACACAGTCCTATTTGTCTTATTATATTCATATTTAACAAGGAAATACAATCAGAACTTGTTCACAGTTGCTCGAATCACTTCTGCTACAAATGGAGTTTGTCCGTACTACTTACAAAGCAAATTCGAAGCAGCTCTTCTTTTGCAATATTCAGCATTGAATTGTAAGTTCTCATTTATATTTATTACTCTTTAATTTTTAACTGTTTACAGCATCTTCAATTCTTCACCAAACCCCAAAATTTGATGAATTTTTTTGTGAAAATGAGGTCAAATCCTTTAATCAAACTTGTATAAAATCAACAGAGAAATAAATTTTTCACCAAATCAAGGAAACTATACCAGCATATACTTTTTTATTCAATGATTTATTCATTTATTCTAGCATTTAATCCTAATTTTCAAAGTAAAACTATTTTTTTAAAATTACATCATATAAAATAAAAACACATATTAAACTTCTGTAAATTTCTCTTACAAATCCTTAAAATAAAATGTTACTTTTTTTTTTCCATAACTGTTGTTTGCTAAAATATGAATTTTGCTTTTCTTTAAAATTGAAAATTTCATTTTTACAGTATTATTAATAATTATAAAGGACAATTAAAAAAAATATCCACTATTTGAGCATTAGTATAGAAATAAATTTCTTTAATTTAAATATCAATCTTTTGATTTCTGTCCAATCCAAACCATTTGGCTATTTTCAATTTCTAAACTACCTTTCTTTTTCTATGTGCAGTAGTCACAATTCCACACTCTTCTACCAAGTTAACTGAGCTTTGTCAAGTTCTCTTTGCTTTAACTGTTTAGCTACAATTAAAAATTTGTTCGTTTCATAATTTTTTTGCATGTTATATTCCAAATAATTATCATTCTTTAATTTATTTATCTTTAGAATATTATGATATAAATGTGTCAATTAGTACCATTTAATGTTTTTCCACATAAATAGTATTGTTAAACATAAGACATAGCTCAATACAATCCATTCATTCTACTAATACAAAAATAAACTTCTTTTATGTAGTTTTAGTATGTAGTTGTGCAACGCAAAAATGCGAAAACGAAGATTATGTGCCGATCAGGAAGATGCCGATCAATCTTTGGTTAAAAGTACAAAACAACTTACTTTAGAACTTTTAACTTCTATTCAAACATTTGTTCTACGCATATTTACCCATAACTTATATAAAAGAAAAGAACATTAAAATACTAACTTTTTACATATATACTTTATTCCTCTGCTTACAGAAAAACAAAGACTTGAAAAAAATAGGAGAGCGCGAGAGGCATATGCCAAAAAGAAACAATATCTACTTTCGCAAGCTGAAAACTCTGTTGGTATTAATTTTTCCTTTAAATCAACATTAGATTTAAATCAAGATTAGTTATCTTACTACTAATCTTAGCTTAAAAATATCATCTCTTGTAAATCTAACATATTTGCCATATGAATTATTGGTACATTCCATAGACTTATGTCAAGATAAAAAAAGGAAACGCACATCATCAACAAAAAATAGAGATTTATTGATTCAAGGAAGCAACTCAAATCAGCAGCAATTGCATATAGGTAACTGATAACAAAAAATATTGAATGTGATTACATAATAACATAGTAATTTTAAAATCATATGATAAACATTTTATTTAGTTTCTTTCTTTTTCTTCTTATTTTTATTAGGAAATCATGTTTCAACTATTCAAACTGGCTTTGTTACATGTCATGACAACAAAGGGAAATCCCACATAAGTTATTTCGGTATTTATGAAAAAGGTTTGAATCTTATTCTTTTTATATAAGTCATCTAATAGAATTATAGCAACAAATCTAACATTAACACATTAATTTTCATAGGTTCCACTTCCGGAACAAATCATCGCTCAAAACCTGATGCAGGTTGATTCTAAATTTAAATTATTTACAAATTAATTTCTTTGCTTAACTTTCTAAATAACAAAATTATATCTTCCACTTCATAGAAAATTGTAGTTCGTGAATATGGAAGGCTTCTAACAAAAAAACTGACGGCATTCCAACTCAACCTGCTATCTTACCACTACAAAGACCTTGCAACTTCTGTGGTGCGAAAAAGTTTTACCTTGAGCCTAATAGCTTTTGTTGTATGGGTGGACAAGTCTCTTTGGTTTCCAGTAACTGTCCTCCAGAACTTGACTGGTTATATACTTCTAACTCTGAGGAAGCAAAAGAATTTCGTACGTATGTTTGAACATATAACAATTGCTTTGCTTTCACATCTTTTGGAGTCAAATATAACAAGGAATTGTGTCGGAGAAATAAAGGAATCTATACATTCAAAATACAAGGTCAAGTTTATCACTTCATTAATGAGCTTACATCTTCTAATGAAAATCTTAGTCATCTACAGCTCTACTTTTATGACACTGATCATGAAATCCAAAACAGAATGAAATCTTCTGAAAAGCTAAATCCTGTTATTCTTGAAAGGCTCATAAAGATTTCACATCTGAATCCATATTCAATCTTCTTCAAGAGATTAGAACACATAGATCCTTTGAACTCTGTACAAATTATTATTAGATCTGATGTATCATTAGATCAGAGAGTCTACAATCAACCTTCAACCTCACAAGTGGCAGCAATTTGGTCTGAAAATGATGTCTTAAGCAAAGAAATCTCAAGGGATATTGTTGTTCATCAAATTTCTGGTCATAGTGAAAAAGTTCAATGGTATTTTGGATGTTATGACCCATTACAATATCCATTGTTATTTCCATATGGTGAATCTGGATGGCATTATGGTATTAAGAGAGTTGACAAAAACCAAACAAAAATCACATGCCATCAACAAACTATTCTTAGTGTTCATTAAGCTACTACTGCTTCAGACCTTCTCATAAAAGAAGCCCAAGGTAAATAAATCCTCTCCTTATCAATTAAATAGTATTAAAAATTATTTACTCCTAACTAAAAAAAAATTTATTTCAATGTTTCAGAAACAAAAGAATAAGAAAACTACCATTTCTTGTCATGAATACTACTGCTACAAGCTTCAAATACGACCCAATGATTCTTCAATCTTACTCCGCTCTGGTCGTCTCTTTCAGCAGCATTGTGTTGATATGTATGTCAAGATTGAAACATCTAGACTTCAATTCTTTCGAAACAAACAAAGAGAAATTAGGGCTGATTTGTATCAAGGAATCATAGACAGTGTCACAACGGGTGAAGGTAGAGGTTCAAAGATTGGTCGCAGGGTTATACTACCACCGTCATTCATAGGTAGTCCAAGAGATTTTAGACGTCGATATGTTGATGCAATGGCTTTGGTCCAGCGATTTGGCAAACCTGATATCTTTCTTACAATGACTTGTAATCCAGCATGGCCAGAGATTAAAACTGAGTTAGGACCTAATGAAGAAGCTCAAAATAGACCAGATTTAACCTCTCGCGTTTTTAGAGCAAAAATGGAACAACTGAAGGATGACATCATAAAACATCAAATCTTTGGGAAAGTCATTGCATATGTTTACGTCATTGAATTTCAAAAGAGAGGTCTTCCACATATGCATCTATTGTTAATTCTAGCACCTGGACAAAAGCCTTTATCTCCTGATACTTATGATTCAATCGTATCTGCTGAACTTCCTGATCAAAAAAAAATCCTCATTTGTTTTCTGTGGTGGTGAAACACATGATACATGGACCTTGTGGTGAAATGAATCCAAACAACATTTGCATGAAGAATGGAAAATGCAAAAATCATTATCCCAAAAATTTTGAACCTATAACAAGATCTTCCAAAGACTCATACCCAATATACAAGCGTCGTGCTGATGGTAATCAAGTGAAAATCAGAGGGCAAATTTTGGATAACCGTTGGGTAGTTCCGTACAATCCATATCTTCTTGCCAAATATGATTGCCACATTAATGTGGAAATTTGTTCAACAATCAAAGCTGTCAAATATTTGTACAAGTATATTTACAAAGGCCATGATAAAATTGCATTCCATATTGTTCAAGAAAATCAATCAGAAATCATAGATGAAATCCAACAATTTCAGTCCGCAAGATGGATTTCACCTCCAGAGGCAATGTGGAGAATTTATGCATTCTCTTTGAATGACATATACCCATCAGTAATCCATCTTCAAATCCACCTTGAACACCAACAATTTGTTACTTTCAATCCTTCAGATGACCTAAATTCTGTGTTAAATGATCCCATCCGTTCGAAAACAATGTTGACTGAATTCTTTTTGATGAACAAGTCAAATGAGAAGGCGAAGCTTGGAAAATATTTATATAAGGAATTCCCTGAACATTTTGTTTGGTGGCAACAAGATAGAATGTGGACTGAGCGAAAAAAGGGCAATGTTATTGGGCGCATTGTCACAGCACAATTTGCACAAAGTGAAAGATATTACCTTAGGTTACTTCTAAACAACATCAGAGAGCCTACATCATTTGAATCCTTGAGAACCATAAATGGAAGAAAAGCAAAAACTTTTCGAGAAGCTGCCCTTCTCTATGGTCTTTTACAATCAGACAACAATCTTGAACAATGCTTGGAGGAAGCAATCTCTTACCAAATGCCTTACTCTCTAAGAAGATTGTTTGCAACCATTCTCACTCATTGTGCTCCTAATAATCCAAAGCAGTTGTGGGAAAAATTCAAAGACTACATGGCAGAGGATTATGCCAAAACAACAAATCTTTCAAAACAAGAAATTTTCAAAAAAGTTCTACAGAGCATCAATTCAACTCTTCAATCAATGGGCAAAGCTATCAAAGATTTCAATATTTGCTCTGACAACATGCTCTCATCTGATAATCAAGAGACTTGTCGTGAAATTGAAGAAGAAATGAATATTGTTGTTTCTGAAGCTGATTACCAGTCTATCTCTCTATTATCCTCGGAACAAAAAGTAGCATTTGACAAAATCTTAAATAGGGTCTTCTCAGGAAATCAAGGGTGTTTTTTCATAGATGGTCCTGGAGGCACTGGTAAGACCTTTTTATACAAGGCATTGTTGGCAGCAATTAGATCCAAGAACTACATTGCTCTTGCAACAGCAACATCTGGAGTAGCAGCTTCTATTCTCCCAGGAGACCGCACAGCCCATTCTCGTTTCAAAATACCTATAGATGTTGATACATATAAATCTTGCAACATAGGTAAACAAACTGGGCTTGCAAATCTTTTGAGAACTGCAAAACTAATCATTTGGGATGAGGCACCTATGGCCAAGAGGCAAAACATTGAGGCATTAAATGATATGCTGAAGGATATCAATGAGTCAGAGTTACTCTTTGGAGGCAAAGTTGTAGTTTTGGGTGGTGATTTTTGACAAATACCACCAGTCATTCCCAAAGGAACAAAATATGATTCAATTGATGCTAGCTTGGTCAATTCAGAATTATGGAAATCTATTAGAAAATAAAGTTGACTGAAAATATGCGAGCAAGGCATGATCCTTGTTTCAGTAATTACTTATTGCGCATTGGCAATGGATCTGAATCGGTCAATGATCAAAACAAAATCAAAATACCAGCATCTATGATAATTTCTAACAATTTTTCAAATGCTGAAAATCCTATCAAAGACTTGATTCAAACTGTCTTTCCAAATCTCAAGAACTACTCAGAAGATCCAATTTCAATGATTAATTCTGTTGTGCTCACTCCAAAAAATGATTGTGTACAAGAAATAAATGCTTTGTTGATCAAACAATTCCCAACAAAAGGTAGATTATATACAAGCATCGACAAGACAATCGATCCAAATGATCAAGGACAATATGAAGACTTCTTGAATTCTCTTGAACCAAATGGTCTCCCACCTCATCATTTAGAATTGAAAATCAATAGTCCGATCATGACTTTAAGAAACATAGATCCTTCAATAGGCTTGTGCAATGGAACGCGACTTATTTGTCGAGATCTCAAAGATTTCATCATTTGTGCTGAAATTGCTGTTGGGGATCGGAAAGGACAAATGGTTTTCATACCACGAATACCATTGCAACCCTCAGATCATCAAAAATACCCAGTTAATTCTTGTTTTATAATACATACCATATTTACCATATTCATTTTTTTGGTTCTTAACAATAACATTTTTCATTGAATTCATAATTACATAATTCATTGCCTCATTAACTTCTGTTATACATACCACTTGTATAGGGTACACAAGTTCAAGCTATACTTTATCAAGATCAAATAGAACAATTCCAAGATACCTTCAAAGTTTTTAATTCATACTATGTCTCAAATGCTGCTGTCAAGTTGCTACAAGAAAAATACCGTATCACACCACAATCATGGCAATGGCAATGGACAATCACTGCTAGCACACTTATTCGAGATGTTGAAAACAGTAATGAAGATAACAATGCCCCAGCATATCACTTTGTACCATTCAACGAATTCTCTGACCATCTTGGCAATGAAACATCATCCATAAGTAATTTTCTTAAATCAACATAAATAATTATCAAGTTACTTTTTCATTAGATACTCTTATTGTTTTTGTATCTATAACAGATATTCTTGCAGCAGTTATTCAAATTAAGCCACCAAAAACAATCACAACAGAAAATGGAACCACAACTGCACAAGAAATTGTACTCATTAATGAAGAGTAAGTATTTTGTATACCTGCGTTAGGTATAACTTGATTTCAATACTAACAAATTCTCTTAATTGTAGCAGGTTAATGCCAATAGTTTTAACTTTGTGGGGTCAATTTGTCACTAATGAAGGAGAGAGATTGCAAGCCATTGCTCAATCATTCCCAACTCTAATTGCAATCAGGCTTAAAGTCTCATTGTTTCGCGGTAATTATAATCTTAACACATTATACTAAATATTAAAAATATATAAAACATATTTTTTTTAATTTATTTTTTACAGGACAATCATTATCAACAAAACCAACATCAGCTTTTGTGCTCAACCCCAACTTCAAAGCTGCACACCAACTTCACAATTGGTACCATCTAATTCAAATACTTTAACTCAAATAATAATTTCTCACAAACACTAATATCAAAATAAATTGATGCAGGTGCATCCAAAATGAAGAAGTTATTAGAACTTTACCTTCTCCACTTGAAACTCATGTTCGAAACATCACAACTCCAAGTCCTAAAGTAGATAAAATCATTTCCATCAGCAGCATTCCATCTTCTCCAAATGCAGTAAGCTTCATACATATTCTTCTACTCTTTAAGCATCTTAAATATATCATTAGTAACCATTGCTAATCACCTGTTACTAGAAAATGTACTAGGTCAAAGCAACTATGTCCATCACCTCACTTGATCAATCTTTTTGGTACATGAGCTGCAACAATTGTTACAAATCCATAAATGCAAAATATCAAACTGTTTTCAACTATTTCCACTGTAAAAAAAAAGAGGTCATTGCAGAACCGAGGTAACAACAAACTAACCCTACACCAACTACCAACATCCACGGACACATGTCCGAATCACTGTACAACAAGGATAAACCCGGGATCGCTATATTTAATAAAACTAACATATAACTTACTACAAACAAACAGAGTCAAATTTCAAGTTGAACTCAAAGATAATTCAGGTTCAATAATGGCAACAATATTCCAGGATCATGTAGAAAAGTTCTTTTCAATTTCATCTACTGACCTAATGAAGCATACAACACAGGTCAAATAAATTAACATGCTTCATCTTCAAATTCACTATTTTTCTTCCCAATTTAAAAAATATTCGACATATATTATGCAGGATGGAAAAGTTTCAAATGAGGCCCTTCCAAAATTAAATGTGCCAGAATATCACATTATTCAACTAAAGCCTCGTCAATATTAGTTTCGTGGACAGGTAATGCTTCAACATGTCATCACATCAGTGAACAATGATGATGCAGAACCCTCCATCATAACTCTTGCTTCAAAACCACATCAACAATCCATCCAAATAGAACCCAAGGCAAAGAAAGAACTATTTCCATCAACTGTTGGTACAAATGTTGCTTCTGATATTTCAACTGCTGCTGTTGCTACAAATTCTGCTTCTCATATATCTACCGCAACAAGTGTACCCTCTACAAAATCTCTCTAGAAAAACACTCTACACTATAATATTTTTGTAATAGGTTACTACAATGTGACATATTTTTGGTTTGATTTGGTATGGCTCAAGTGGTTTGGTTTGTAACATATTTTTGTTGTTGCCTGTTTGAAACTACAATGTGCTAGACACAACTCAATAGTACTTTTGGTTTGGTTTGGTTCTTACTGCTCATGAAAGTAAATTATTCAATATTACTTATAATGGGTACTAACCCACTTACTACTACAACTCTTATTCTCTTCCTGCATGAATAGTTTGAACTTAATTTTTATAGTACTATTTTGAAAATCAAAAAAATATGATGTGTGTTGATTCTTATGATGTGTGGAGATGATAATACGATGTGTGTGATGTAGACCTCAATGCATGCTAAGTCCTTGTCTTCCTCCCATATCTACAGATTTATACAAATAAGTAACATGAATGCAAGATTCCCCTCATTTGTTATCACATTTAATAGTCCATAATGTTTTTATTTAATTCCATTTCATTTTTTCCATCTGTGGTTCATCCAAAATACCAAATTTATTAACAAAATTATATTATTATCTCCTTTTATTAATGGGCATTTTAATGGGCATCAGTTAGCGTGCTTTGCACGCAGCCCCCTCACTAGTTGTATAAAGAAGTGTAAACACAGTTTAATCAAATAGATTGGAAAACAGAGCTTTTTCAATTTCTGTCATGGTATCAGAGCTTTTCAAGCTCCTACGAGCAAGGTCCAATAATGGTATATATATGCAGATTCGGGACTTTTTCCAAAATAAGTCAAATTAATAATTTATTTTTCAAACTAAATTTAGTTTGGACGGAATTCTCAAATTAGGCTAAAGCGCTATTACAAACCAAGCTCTCACTATTTTCAGGCCCCTCCTGTAAAAAATTTGTGAAATAGTAAAAGCGTGGTTACAAACCACGCTTTTAAGCATTTTTTCTTTTGTTGAGAAAACGTGGTTCCGAACCATATTTTTACTGTTGACCAAGGATACACGCTTTTAAAAAATATTAAAATGTGAGTATAATAAAAGGATGTAGCCCAAATGGTAGTCCACTCTTTTGTTTTGTTTTGTTTTTTTTTCTTCCACTTACTCTATACTTTATATATTTATTATGTAATTTTTTTATCAAACAAAAGTAAAACGTTTGTTTGGTTAACTAAAAAAATTCTCTATAAAATACAATTTTTTTCAAAATGTCAACATTATTGTTTAAAAAGTACTCAGTGTGTTTGATTTGAGTTTTTTGGATTTAGTTATTTGAAAACTGAGTTTTTTTATTTTTGTATTTTTTTATTTTTAGTGAATATTTTTAAAATTTTAATTTTTTTTTTTTTACTTTTTTAGATGCACCTTAGTTAGATGTATCTAAAAAGTAAAAAATTTGTGAAAAATTATTTTTAAAAATTAATAAATACATAAAATGTATTGAAAAAATGTATTTTTTAAAAAAAAATACAAAAAAAAATGTGTTTTTTTAAAAAATACAAAAAATATTTTAAAGTATTTTTTTTGTATAATAAGGCGTATTATTATGGTATCAGAGCCATTGTTATGTTGAATCCTGATTCTAATTGTTTAGCTACTTCCGATCAATCAATTCTGTTGTTTATTTGATTAATCTAGTTTTCAGTTCATCTTAATCACCCAAGAGATTCGTCTGTGTTTATCTACCTGGTTTAAGTCACCCACTTTTGTTCCCTGTCCAGAGTAAGTCCTTAGAGTTAGGCAGTGTAGGACATAGGAGTCTTCCAAATAGGGTCTGTACTAAAACCAATTGGTATGTGATAACATGACAAGAATAAGGTATGTATTAAGATATTTGTAAAACTGATTAATTAAACAAAACAATGAATTGATTATTTAGAAGTAACTCCTCAGTTAGTTCTAGGTCAACAACTTTGCCCTCAATACCTAATCCAAGATTAATAATTAATGAAGAAGATATTGAAATACAAAATGATAAAATTGATGCAGGATAGAATATACCCAAACTACAAATTAAAGAAATTTATAAAGCTACTTTTATACATAATGTTTTTAAAGTAGCTTTGCATGTTAAAACCATTGAACAAGTTTATACTTTAGAAAAACCTAGAGAATCCTGTCGATTATTTGATGCTAAGTTAATCAAGTCACCCCAAAGGCCAAGTTATCCATGAAATTGCTCAATCCTATTTTGGCTCTGGATGCCATTTCATCCTCTCACATCTAGAGAAAACACTCACCTATTACAAAGATATTTTGATCTATCACCAATCAGTCTTGATCAAACCCATTTATGATCGAACCTATGCTAGCAAGGTTTTGTATTATTCCATTTACATTCATAACATTATTTCTTTAGCTGAATGGGGTCCTCCTTATCAGTTTCGTGATTTACCTGGTCACTCTGTTCAATACAATTACCATGATTACATTGATGGTTGGTTCAAGATCTTCTTGTACCAAAATGAAACTTTCAGTCACTCCTGGTTCATTTCTTTTGATCAAAAATTCAAGTCAGAATTACCTTCCTGGTTTCTGAGATGGTGGACTCATTATGGCGCCATTTCGGATATTCTCCCTAGTGATCTCATTGAACTAATTAATTATTTTGCTTCTGTTTACCTATTCATTGCTCATCAAAGAACATTTCCATTTTTGTTAATTTTTATATCCAAATACAAAATCCCTTGGATATTCAAATGGCATTATGGAATTGATGGTAATATAATCATCCGTCATCACTCAGTCAAATGGTGGGCTAAATTTAATGTGTCTCGTATACTTGAAATTGTTCAAGAAGAATTTCCCATTGATCAATGTGTTCCTACCCCTGCCATTGCTAAAGCCCAACAGGATCCAATTTCTGCAATCAGCCAAGGAAGTCAGCCCAGTCTTCCTCCAATCAATCTTGGAAGCCCCTCATCTAGTGGTTCTAAGCCCATTTCATCTAAGTCCAAGATTCAACCCACAACTGATAAATCAAAGTGCAAGAGAAACCCCAGCAATGAAAAGGAAGAAAGGCATCAAAAAGTTTGCCAAGTGTACACCATTCCATGGGGAATGAGCATGATTGGAAAAATCGAGCCACCATAATCCACGAGCATCATAAGCTCAAAGCAAATGATACAACATATCATAAATTCCATGAGCTGAAAATATCAATATAAACTGAGTGGTCAGTTGTTATGCTTATGTTTTAAGGCTTGAGTTGAATTTTGGAGGCATTTAACCCAAAATCAATTGGCAATAGTTGCAAACTTGCAGAGGTTTCTAGATTATATCAACTAAGCTTGTGTGTCTTAGAAAAGAGATATAAGGCAAGTCTCTAACAATTCTCTGATTGGCCTCCCATGTAGGTGATAGAGTGATGAACAAAACCTAACAACAGATCCAGGATACAAACTTACATGCCAAGTAGTAAATCAAAATCTGCATTAAAATACAGATAGTAAATTCACATTCAAAATTTAAAAACTTGTGTCTTTACCAAATATAAGAAATGAAAGCATCATGGGGAATAAATCTGGATTACTTTCATTCTCATTTTATTCATGCAATGCAAGAACCTCCCTGCTTGTAACTCTACTTTCTCTTCTGATTTAGTTTCACTTCTTCACTAGAAGTTAAAAAAATATAGATCTAATATCTGAGAACTCTAAGCTCAATAATTAAAATATATAGAATCGATCAATTCTATTGTCAGAATCATCTCATTACAAGTTTATTAATTGTTAAAATACACGTTAATGTGTGATGCAATTCACGTATGTATGGAAATCTTACAAGTTGACTTGCTACTAGTACTGCACACAGAAATTTCAATCGTCTGGATGAATCTGCTTACAATTTCTAGCTTTCACAAATTTTTGTTGCACCAATTTGCATAAAACCAAAGAATTACTGTAATTTACAGGAGTAATAGAACCAGTACTTTTTTAATACTAGATTATATAAACACTTCTAGACTACTAGTTTTTGTCTGAAATACCTACATAAACTGAACCATGAAGTTCATTAAATTTTTACTAATTCGAGCTCATTCTATCAAACAAGATTATTAGAAAATTAGACATACCATTCAATCCGAAGAAATTATAACCTTTAAATGCAAAATATAGTCCCAACAATCCGAAGAATTTGTCTATCTAAT